AAGGTGATAAAACCCTTAATAAATCAATACTATTTGATGTCTGGGGAACAAGTAACTGGAGAAAGGTTAAACCTGTATCTTCATAAGGCCTGACACCACTCAGCACCATCTCAATAGTGATGTGTCTCTTCCCCAGCCTTTAAATATCAAAGTGCTTCAAGCTGTAATACATTTCTCAAAGCTCTACTTGAGGTAGATAAATACTACTGGGCAATTAAACCAAAGAACAGATCTTCATAGACTCAATCTCCCCCCCCCATCACTAGAACCACTCTATACACCTCATGGCTTCTGGATCCTGACCAGGACTGCTGGTCAGCTTACAGTGCAGGAGGACAGGGGATGGTTCAGCTTTGTGCAGCTCTAATGAATATTCATTTCTACACTTACTGGCTGTGTTTTGTATGCTGGTAACACTCCCTCTTGGCATCTCTTCTTTTACCAGTAGACTGTGCTCTCTTGTTTTAATTTTGTTTTGAGCCCGGTGTCCCCACATGGCACCAAGTTCAGTGCCTTTGAACTCAACCTCTTTCTGTTCTTAGTGACACAATGTTGTCCTGCAGCAAACAAAATTTCAGAGATGACCCAAGGCTGGTCACAAGGGAAAATCCCCCAGACTGGGAAAATGCAATCAAAAGCCACATGTGACCAGACAGTGTTAATATAAAATATCAGAATTTCATGTTATTGTCAAACGAGTGACCATTTTTATCTTCTGAGGAGCAAAGATTCCCTGCCAGATCTCACATGCAATTTTGAAGAGAAAAAACTGGTTCTTCATTAATATCACAGAAGAGGATGATGCTGAAGGGACTTAAGACATTAATCTATCCTGAAAAAAGGATCAAGTTTGTTGTTACTGTTGCATACTATTGTCACATATAGAAACAAACTCTAATGGAAAACATCCCATCTGCTCAGTGTGGTCTCCTAGAAATGGCATGGCCCTGTAAAACCACACAGTGTAGGACTATTTCCTTTGTGTTACAAAACAGAATGTTGGTTGTTCTTCCCCAGATCCTATTTGGAACACTGAGGACAGACATATGTAATAGTCACTGATTTGTTAGTAGAGTTAAAGAAATATCTTTTTTTTTTTTTTTTTTTTTTCCTTCTAACCCATGCAGCAGATTCTGACATCAAGTGGACTCTGAATTACAGAATGGCTCAGGTTGGAAGGAAAGATCTGGTCCAAACTCCCTGCCCAAGCAGAAGCCTCCTAGAGCCCATTGCCCAGAACCATGCCCAGATGGCTTTTCAGTGTCTCCAAAGATGTAGAATCCACAAACTCTCTGGGCAACCTGTGTCAGTGGTTTCTCACCCTCACAGTGAAAAAGTCTTTCCTGATCTTCACAGGGCATCTCCTGTTTGTACCAGTTTGTACCCCCTGCCTTGGTCCTGTCACTGGGCACCACTGACAGAGCCTGGCTATGTCCTCTTTGCACCCTCCCTTCAGGTATTTATATATATTGATGAGATCTACCCTGGGCCTTCTCTAGGCTGAACAATCCCAGCTTTCACTCACAGGAGAGGTGCTCCAGTACCTTCATCATCTTTATGGCCTTCGCTGGACTCTTAACCAGTAGCTTCATCTCTCTTATTTTGGGGAGCCTAGAACTGAACATGATTGGGAGAAACTTACATATCACTCTCTCACAATTATTTCCTCAGCAGGCAGAAACCAAACTGTTTTTTCCCCTACAGCCTTTTTAGGTAATGAAAATCCTTTTCGGGCACCCAGCATCCATGTCTTATCAGCAGCCAACCCCATGCAGAGGGAACACATCCCTCCTTTTCCCAATGCTGGAGATACTCATGGCACCCTCTGGACAGTAATCACTTTTGATGTGCTGAATCAATGTGCTGACATTCAGGTGATGGCCTCAAGTTCAAGAGAATGAATGAAGTGAGGAGGTCATGTCACCTCTGTAAATCTTGTAGATGAGTGCTAACAGCTGAGCACACTCATGTCACCCTTTGGGATGATTCTCTGTTATGCTGGCTGACTTTTAGCCCTAAGCACAGGAGATGTTAGTCTCCTGTAGACAGAAGGACCATCAGTGCTATTGTTGCAAGCAGTTGCCCATATACTTTTCCCTTTAATTAAGTATTTTCAGGTTAAAAAGACTGAAGTTTGGGGTCGAGGTTGGTCTTTCTTCAGCCATCTGGAGCACAAGTGGGTCAAATCAGCTGCTCAGTGTGAGCAACCAGTGCCTGCCCCATAACCCAGCACTTAAGTGCTACAGATACCGCTCATTTTAAAGCCAAGAATGGCAGGTAGATGCTCTGAAGAACACTGCTTCTTCCCTGTAGGAAACACCAGCTAAGACAGAAATGAAAATCAATTTTCTTAAGTGAAGAGCAGAGGAAAGGCAGCATTGTTTGTACGTGCCTTGGCACCGCAGGAGTTACCACTAAAAGCCATTTGCTGCACTCCAGCAACCCTGGGGAAAAGGGGACTTTGCTTTGTTTGACTGTGTGGGTGAGGGTGTGCGTGGGGGGTGCTGCATAGTTTGCATCTGTACTAAAAGACTCCCCACCTCCCCTTCCCAAAAATGCAGTTAATAAAAATAGCTCAGTTTTGTTATTCAACAACTGAAATGGAAATAAAAAGACCAGGCAACAGAGATCTCTCTCTTTTTGTGTGGATCCAGCAGACAGAAGAAACTGGAACTGTTACCCTAACACAGCAGAACAGGAAGGCAGGCATCTTACCTCACCCAGTACAATCCCCCTCTTGTTTACCTCTTGTGAGGTAAAGGAATTGTTGCTTAAATTAGTGACACCTATTTTCCCTTCAGATCTCTACACTACAGCTCTTCAGGTCATTGCAAAGGGACACACTTCCCCTTCTCCACCAGCTTCACTTTCAGCTTATATCACTCTCTAAGCCAAGACCACTCTGTCCTGAAACTGCAAGATAAGGAAATGTTTAGATTAAATTCAGACAACACTGCAGGTAATTTAGTTGGAAAGAACAACAGGAAGAACTTTGCAAAATGGATTTATATACCCAACATCCACGCATAAGCAACATTAAACTCACAACTGCTGGGAGGAGAAGGGGGGAGGTGGGCAAGAGTTTACTGCAGAGCAGTCCTAACACACCTCTCTCCAAAGTTTAGTCTCCTTTGGATTCAGTTCCTCACCTTTGTTTGAACGTTGCATGTTTAGAAGGACTAGACACTGACCCAGGGGTGATCCACAGCTCACTGAATCTGCCGCTCCATGAGTGAGAGCACAATTCACACTGGAGCCCCAGGCTTGCTGCAAGTGCTGTGTCTCCTCAGGAACAGAGCACTGAACAGTGGTTGAAATTCACTTTGGTTCTCCTGTGTTTCTGCCACCATGAGAAAGAGACTCTGCATAGCAAAGCAAGTCGGGTCTTCAGCCAAAAGGCCCTGAGCCCAAGGTAACATGGAGCAGTGTAGTCCAGTAAAGTTTTGTACAGCTTCACCAGCTGGAATGAAATGTTGGCAGGCAACTTGTTCATCTTGTCTATCTTCCTCTAGCCAAAAACACTTCAGTCATCAGAAGACATGCACAAGGTGAAATGAAAAGCCTTCCAAGAGGAAACAAGTATCTAGCTTCCAGGAGAAAAAGTGGGAGGACTTAGAAAACAACATTCAACCTGGAAAAAGAATATTTTTTTTAGTGCTGTGTGAATTATGTTTCAAAATATGCTTTAAAATATGCTGCCTAGAGGGGAATCAACAGCAGGCTGTATGTCCAGGAAGGCCAGGGTAGCATCATTTCAGAGAACATGACAGCAAAATGTTTAAGTACAGGTCACAGAATGTTTAAAAATATGATTTTCCCTGAAAATACATAGCAGTCCTGCAATGTGCACATGAAAGTCCACTCACCCTTGACTGCTGTGGCTCACTAGTCTAGAATGAATGCCTTTATGTTTCCTCAAAAGTTAATTACTGTCAGGAGAACAAAGGAGCAGCTTTATTTTCTTTTGGCATTATCACCTAAAGGAAAACACAAGGCTTCTCTCTAGGTAGCAATGTGCTTTGTAGTGGTAAACATCATGGCCTCCACAGTTCAGAGGAGAAAAGTAAAGTCCAAAATGAGGCAAGACTGAACACCACTGGTTACTGTGTGACAGCAGCAACTGTCCTTGAGGTCTACTTAGACAGGAGATACAGGAGAGCCCTAGGTCTGGTCTGCAGTTCTGTTCTCTACACCAGTTTCATTGAAGCACATCAGCAATAACATGCTAAAAAGTGAAATAGATTCAAAGAACAGAGAGAGATGACTCTTTGGATAAGATCCCTTTGGCAAAAAGGACTGTTTTGTTTATTCATCTTAACAAAGTCCTTCTAAAAAAGCAATTTGGGTCATTCCAGATTTTTAAATACATTTTATTCTTAAAAGAAACCATAAAATTGGACAACAGGATAATGGGCATCATTCAGCAATAACAGTTTCTGGTCTGTAGAGGAAATTAATAAAAACCATCAGCATTTTAAAAAATAAATATGACTAACAATATGAAAAACAGGAAAACCAAATTCATGTTCAACAACACAGGTATAAATGCTGAAATGTTGCTGCTCAAGGTAGAGGTAGAGGTAAACCAGACTTTTCAGACCTAGACCAGTTTTAGATCTACACCCCCCACCCCCCACACAATGCACACACTCACAGAAGTTCCTGTTGCCAATACTTTAATTTTAATTAGCCTGCCATCCTCATCAAACTCAAGCAAGTCTGTGTGCTCCTTGTAATGCTCTGAGGTGGAACACTATTTCAGTTTTTGTAGAAATCTGTTGCTAAGCAACCTGGCCCCCTGGTTTTGCAACTTGTGCAGAAGGGAAGAGGCAGGAAGAAGGATTTTAGCTACTACAAACCAATAAAATTCCCTCTGAATGATGTCCACTAGGACAAGTAGATGGTAGAGCCCTTTTAGGAATTGCAATAGCCCATCAGCTCAGGGCTGATTGCCTTCTGCAGTGTGTTTATACCAACAGCTCCCGTGGCAAGACACAACCCAAGAACCCTCTGTACAAAGCAGCAACTATCTTGACATAGTGAAATTAAAAAAAAAACCTGAAAATTGCACTGCATACAGATTTTCCAAACTCAAGACAACTGAAGTCAGATGGTACAAACCATTAGTTAAAAAAATAGCTTCTTGTGTATTTTGAGAGTAAGTGGAAAGAGTCTTCGTGCAAATGCTCAGCCTTGATCAAGCAGAGGATGTAAAAATCATTGTAAACCTGTTAGTTCCTTTCCCATCTGCCACATGTGGCCAGCATTACCTATCTTCTGCAGTATGATTAGGGTTAGGAAATCTGCTTCTTCTGTAAATACCACCTTCCAGGTTCCACTGACGTACCATCAAGACACTACTGGTGTCATATCCCACAGCTGTTAATACAATAAAATATGACAACATAGTGAATAATGGTAAAAGAGAAGAAAATATAGTATATAATGTGATCTTTAAATAATTTGCACTTTTTTTTTTCTTCTTAAGAGACTTATGCAGCAAATCTGAAGAAGTTTGATTTAATGTTCCAGCACTCGTGTCAGGTTGACAAAATGACATCCTGGATGTCACTGTGTTTTACCTATATAAGCCAGGTTCATAGCTGACCTAAAGAGACACCAAACAACCCACACTACTTTGTTAACTTAGATGATTAGCATAGTCATAACACCTTGTGAGGGTTTTCAAAATGTTATTCAAGCTTTATTATGAACTTACTCATTATTTTAGCTGTTTCTTTACCTAGCCACACAAACAAAGATTTGCCACATTGAAACACACTTTGTCTTCCCAGAGAGAAAGCCACAATGAGCACTTGTCACAATCCCATCAGGCAATGATTTAATAGACCAAGGACTTCCTTGGTCCTTATTGGGCAGAAGTTCATCAGTGAAAGGCCTCTGGGTGGAAGAAAGTAGGTAGGACATATCTGAAACCACATGGGAGAGAAAGGGGAAGTGAAATTGCTAGAAGCAGCCTCCTTGCTCCTACCTTGATAACCTTGTCTGTTCCCGAGGTCAACAGCCATCCCCTGGTGGCATCAAAGTGCACGTGAACAATGTTGTGCTTACTGTCATGGAACGTAGCTGTGGGTGCCCGTCTGGGGGGAGAAATCCAACAGTCAGCAAAGACTGCGACTGCAGGACTTTTTTGAATGCTGCAAGTCATGAATTCAGCACTCTCTCTCTAAATTCCACTTTGAGATGTTTACAGCAGGAGAGGAGCAGGGGTGGAAGCCTCTCTGTCCCTCCTGGTTTGTCAGGCACC